TTTTAATATTATTTCTTTTGAGTTTAATAAAATTTTTATTTTATTTCATTTTCTTTCACATATTTTCATTGTTTTTCTCACCAAAACAAGACCTAATTGACGAGGAGACCAGCAGTGTGATGCAGCAATATTACAACGACGATGCCTTCTACATAGCCGCGGATCGGGTTTATCAGTCCAGCGATGACGAGTTTGCGGGCATGTTTGGCCCCATTCAGACAGTTGCGGGTTTGTAAAGAAATACGACATAAGCAGTGAAAACTCTTAAGGACAGCTGCCTGACAAGCTTATGTGCAGCGGGAACATGCGTTAGTTAACTGTTGCCACAGACAGATGGGGTAGCTGAAAACCGAGAAGTTGACAAGCGTGTGCATATATTATTCGTATACCCTGAGCCCATTCAAAGTTGGAGTTCAGGAGGTATATTGACTAGTGGCGAAACACATAAAGTGTAGTCCGTCCCGATATGTCCAATAGCTAATACAATCGAGTTATATATTCATTTCTCACCTGCTATTTTAGTCTTGTATTTGTAATTCCTAATATCTTATATATAGATAGTAGAGACAGATAAGAATGCGGGTATTTAAACAGGAAATTTATTTACAGTGAGTCACATACTAATTGATTCTGACTATTCAAGCTGGGATCGGTTCGTAAAAATATTTTTATATTATATTTTATATTTTTTATATTTCATATTTTTTTCATTTATATTTTTTGTCTTAGCTTGCTCGGGTTTGGCCTGTAGTTAGGGTATGTCCTAGTCAGGCATTCCCCACAAGAGTGCTCACTCTCCCTTTTATTATTTTATTTTTTCAAATATATTTCGTGCCAGTTATGTGCACTTTTGAGCCAAGTCCTCCAGTTGGGTGGAAGTGGAAGTGCTGTAGAGGCGAGCTAAGCGCTTGTGGCTGGCGCAACGTTTTTCTGGCTCCTAACGAACAAATTGCTTTGGAAAATACTTTTTCCGTCTAACTTTGTCAGTTTGTTATTTCCCACATTTTACCTAACACATTTTTCGTACAAAATATTATGGCATAAATTTGTTTATTTCTCAAGTACGTGTCCCATTTAATTAGACAGCCAGTGGTGGAGCTCGGACTGAAATAGTACGTTGCTTAGCTTAGCTCTGTGTTTCTCAGTCGAACTCATCTGGCAGCGTCTTGCACAGATGTGGATAGTCTTCGCTGACGCCGTCGGCACAGTGATCCTCCGAAAATGTGCCCGCCGTATAGAGGTACGACGCTGGGTCGATTTGGCTATTGTAATAACAGACGAGCACGAATCGACTGGCCTCCCGGTCGAAGTCCTCGGCGGCCGCACAGCCCACGTATTTGTTGTGGTCGCTCAAAATGTTTTTGATCTCCGAGACTTCTCCCACTTCGAACTGTCCTAGTGCCAGCTTGTAGACCTGGTGCATCCACACTTCCGTCTGGACAGTCAGTTTCTCGGAGTTCGTCGAGCGCGAGTAGTTGGGGATAGGCTCTATATCCAGCCAATTCATGCCATAGTTCAACGCGGGATTAGTGAACGTGGAAACAGCTAAGCAGTAGTTCAGGTCCCGCGAGCAGCGCTTCACATGGTACTCGGCTATCAGAGCGAGCTTAAAGTGCCAGATCAGCTCCGGCATGTGCATGGCCGCGGGCAGCCCTTTAATGTCTCCAGATGCCACTTCCTCGCGGTACTTGTTGTGCAGCTTGAGCAGGTAGTCGCGGTAGATCTGCATGTTGAGCAGGATGCGGGTGCGCAGGCAACTCTCATGAAAGGTCTAACAGCCATTAGAGTAGTTAGTATAGAATTAGGGATTAGCCAATTGAGAGTCTTACCAAATCGTTTTCACAGCCCAAATGACGCAATCCATTGCATTCAGTCATGTTACAAAAGTCTATCGCCAGGCACTCGTTCCAGCACAGAACAAGCCAAAGAACTAGAAGCTTCTTCATTTGCTCCATTCTATGATCAGAGATCTACTGAAGGCGGCTAACGAGCGGCGCTGGCTTATATTGGGCTACCGTCCGGGTTGGATTGAGGGAGTGATTCACAAATAAACATTGCCCAAGCAATATCAGATGACTTTCATGGGAGAGCAGTTAAAACTGTTTATTTAGAAATAAAATATGATCTGGAAAATTGTTTAAATCTAATTTGTTGACGTTAAAGTAAACAATTAAGTGGCAAGCTCTTCGATAAACTAGCTCAATTGTGCTTTCTCGTAATACAAACAGAAGCAATTGAGTCATTGCCATCCACCCCAAATAGCATAGTGGAAACTTCCCTTTGCTGATGTTGCTGCTGAGGCTGGAGTCCATAGCCACTCTAAGTTTCAATACCAATTAGTCCGAGTTTACCTTGTGCTTTGTCACACGATTCGCTTGTTGCTCATTTCTGTGTTTGCCAGAGACGAATGCGCATTTCGCAGACGCCAAGCTGTGCACTGATTGCCACGGATGGGGGACCACTGACAGGTTGCATAAGTGGCATCCACAACAAAGAGCACGAGCTGGACGCTTGACAATGACTTTGGACGACATCAAATAGATTTCTTTGTCGCAGCCAGATGGCATTCGAAATGACCAGCTGCCAATTTAACTAGTTTACTGAGGCATCAACTCAGCCGGGATAAGTCAACCAGGGACAGGTGCCATCGAGCTACATTTTCCCTAAAACACCGCCCCGCCCCTGTTGTTTATGTAGATTACTGATTGGAAACGGTCACGTAGCTTGCGATATTTTGTCGGTAATTTGCCGTTTCAGCTGCGCTTCACAATTCGCTTCGATTTCCCATTGCTACGACTGACGATTCCTGTTGGCTAACTCTTTTGCAGTGCCCACGGCCACGATTCTCGGCGGACCCGATCTGTATGTGGACAAGGGCAGCACCATAAATCTAACATGCATCATTAAGTTCAGCCCGGAGCCGCCGACACACATCTTCTGGTATCACCAGGACAAGGTAAGCAATCAATTTGTGAATATTCAACATAAGACGAACCCAAAAATGCTTTAAAGATACACTTAAAATTCCTGTGTGCACATCAAATTATCGTGGAATAATTGAACTTTGCCCTCTTTGAGAACTCGGGCACTCAAACTCAAACTGTTTCTCATACCAATACTTAAGCTCAAGGCCCAGCCAATTGCCGCTGGATAAACGTTTCAACTTTTACGAGCGCAGGGCGCGACTTGCGTTCGCGCTTTGTTTACGCTGCGTATACGTAACGTATTTAATTTTAGCTTTTATGATTATGGGAAAACATGCTTTTGCATTTAGCTCGTTGCCAGCCTGCCAGCCTGCCAGCCAGCCTGTCCGCCCGACCCCCTGTAAACATTTCTTTTCAAGGCAAAATTTTCAGCGAAAATGTTTTAATACTCACACACATTTGTATACACACACACGCACAGGTGCTCAGCGAGGAGACTGCGGGCGGCCGGTTGAAATTTAAGACCATTAAATCGGAGGAGACCAAATCAATTTTGCTTATCTACGATGCGGATTTATTGCACTCTGGCAAATACTCCTGCTATCCATCAAACACAGAAATTGCCAGCATACGCGTCCACGTGCTGCAGGGTGAGTACAAAGGGAATTCCATGGGAGAGCCTGGGCCGGTTGGTGTGTTGCTCTAGCACATATGGGGCAAGTGCATTAAACGAGTTTAAATGCCAAGTAAGTGGGTGGAACCGGTTAGCAAAGCAACATCAAGCAAGAAATCGAGGAATTCAATTCAACTGAAGCCCATTACCTGCAGCTGCAGTTGAGGGGCTTTCGAGTATGACGATWGCATTGAAAGTACTTGCAGCTACTTGACCTTTCTCATATACATATATATATTATAATATATATACTAAAGGATGGAGGACGCACTCAGCATTGTTGTCGACTTCTTGTGCAATTCGTAGCCGGCGAAACTTTATGCATTTGTGAACAAACATTTTAGTGAGCTAACCACAAGAGGCATGAGTATTTCGGTTCCACTCGGCGGTCTATGGGAGTCCGTGAAAGGGTCCAACAAATTGTAACTCATTTATGCAATGTCTGCATTAATTTTTCTTCTGTGTTTGCTCATTTCGCGCAGGCGAGCGACCCGAAGCCATGCAAACGAATGCGGCGCCGGCTGCCGTCGCTTTGGCCTGGGCCTGCCACACGAAACAGGCAACGCAGGCAGTCAAAGTAATTAGCACAATGGTTGCGGCATTTGTATTGTTGGAGGCCTGCTGCACACTGCTGCTCCAGGGAGCAGGAGGCGGCGGAGGTGGGCGCGAAGGACAAGAAGACAGAGCAGGACAAGAGCAGCGTCAAGCGGCGCAGGCGAACAGGARCAGCAACAGCAACAGCAACAGCAGCTGCCCTAACCGCGACCATGTTGGCCAGCGGACGACGTCAACTTCGGGCAACCATGTCAATAAGAGCAGAACAACTGCGCGGTGATAAATTAAAGCAGCCCGGTTAGAAGCGCCACAGAAACGCCACCGCCAATGCGCCGCCAGCCAAGCAGCAGTACGTAACTAAGTGGGCTGCCCATTGGAGGGCAATCGAGATGTGAGGCCTGGCTGTCGCTCAAACGATGCAGATGATGCAGTGCAGCAGAGGCTGCGCCGGTGCCACTGGCAGCAGCTGCAATGCCAAATACTAAAACAAGAAAGGTAAGCTAATTACGCTAATGATGAGCCGCTGCATATGATTCGTCGACGACCGCCGCCGGCCTGCTGCAGCGACTGCTTCTCGAATACTCTCTAAGTTGTAAGTAAGTGCGTGTATAATTTAGTGGGCTGCGACTAGCTAAAGCTGGGTCAGCTGTGTACATAGTACTCTTACCTAAAATCATATGCCAGCACTAGATACATTAGTAGAATATAAATTAAGAGAGGAGTTGATTAAACGAAGAAACTTAAATAATGTATAAATCATATATGCTACTCACTAATAGAGGAACCCGTTCGGTCAGTAATAAGTAAATACTCGAAAGCCAACTAATTGCCAGTTTTCGTTGTGTACATTGGAGATCTGTAAGCAGCTTACGATCGGCAGTAGCTTAGACATGTTCCACGATAATCACTTGTATATACATATATGTAGACCTATTTCATAAGCAATGTAAATACTTACGATTACTATTACTGCCCGTACCTAATCAGGTGCAGCTACAAGGCTAAATATTCAGTTTTGTTCATCCAGTATATTGTTATATGTTCCTATTAGCCTCTTCGTTTGTCAGTACAAATTTATTCGGCCTCGCCTCTTCCATTCTAAACTATCAGTTATCTCCCCGTACTTTCATTGCCCGAGTCTGTGCAGAGTTTGGCAACATTCTCGAGCCATATGTTGGGTTCCTTCGGCAGGATACGGAGCTCTTATCTCCTTCCTCGAAAATGTCATGCGCCTGTCTTGAGTATTCCGCAAAGTTTTCTCTGTGTGCGCACAGTCCCGAAAGTCTGCAGTTTGCTTTATTTGTAGTCACAACTTCATCGTGTCCGGCCGTATTTCCCAGCAAGCTGCAAGTCACTTTGCCAATGGCTGTCAACAAAATATTTGCATTTATATTTGCCAAGCAGCCCGTTCAGTCAAGTAGCACCCAAGCATTCAGTTCAGTTTAGTCCTGGTCTGTTTTGTTCCGCTCAGTGCTGGATCGATGGCACATAGTTGCCCAGGTACTCCTATTCCCAGGCCAGCCTCGCCGCCTCCTGCCTGGCGGTCCCCTGCGCCACTTAATGTCTCCCATTTAAAAATGCATGCGACTGTCCGCTTTAATGGCCGCTCGACTATTAAATGCGATGGCCGGGGGCATGGCCGGGGGCATGGCCGGGCATTAAACTGTAAACTGTTGAAAATTGTAAATAAAATCGCATATATGTACATGTATGTATTCGAATAAATTAAAGCTGCTTTATTTAACTAGATGTGGTAGTCGTGCGTGTGACCATTTCCAAAGAAAAACCAATTGCTGTCATAAATATTAATATTAATAATTAAAAATTATAAATGTGCGCCAGCGAAGTTTGTCGCGTCATTTATGGGAATGTTTAATGAGTATATGCAAATGCTGCTATAAACATAAGCGCGAAAGCGAAGGCGAGAGCAAAAGCAAAACCCGAAACCGAATATATAAACAAACAAAAACAAAACATGAGAATATGCAGTTAAGAGCAAAGAGTACATCTGTATATGTATTTCAGCCCTGTATGTGTATGTATAAAAGTAATATCGAGTATTATAATCAGACGTAATAATAATATGAATAGCGATAACAATAAAAACACTAAATAAAACTATGAGCATACGAATATACAAATGTCAGACAGGCARATGATGATGATGTTGATGATATTTTGTTACAAACAAAATGAGAACGCATTATAATGGATTATAAAGTTGTTTTAATGTTTAAGTGAGTAGCGCCAGCAGAGCGTTAACATGCATTAGGATTAACTACGTTTATAATGAAAACCGCAAATATTTAAATAAAGTTTTTAGTTATTATGAAAATGGTAAATACTGCATACGCTCTGCCGTTTCATTCTTAATTCCGCCGACACTCTAATCGTCGGGCTGAAAAGTTATAATAAATTACATGCACGTTGCGTCCGGGGTAATATATGGTCGGCAAGCAAACAAACTTGGGAAGGAGCTCACGGGGAGCCGCAGTGGAAAAAGATTTATGCAAATATTTGGCACACAGATATCTTAACGGCTGCACATAATAGACAACGGAATGGTACAGGAGGCGAGGTCCTGTTGCGAACGCGTTTTCATTTTTCAGCCTAATAAAGTAGCAACCGAAGAGAATGTAAACTTTCGGCTGGCCTCAGCGGGATGCCGGAGTCCTGGACGGTGCAGAATGCGCATAAAGTGCTGTCCTGTCCCCGTTGTTTCCTGCCTTCCCGCTTTCCTGCTCTCCTGCCCAGGCCATGTGTGCGCCCTACCGGTAAGGCATCAGCAGCCGTTAGCATAAAAGTTTATTATATGACAAGTAAGTACATATATTTGTATTCAGCTATGTGCCGAGCCAGGCTTCGCTCCACAAGCCAAATAACGGCAATATCATGCCAAAAAGTTTAATAGCCCAAGACGCGTCAAGGCGAATTGGCTGGAAAACGTCAGGCACGGCCAGGAACACTCAGCGCATATGAAGCGTAAACTTTTTTGCCAGAACGCACAAAGAAACGGAACTCGAAATAAAACTATGCAGGAAAGTACAACGAAAGTGGAGTACCCTGTTCAATCGATGGATTTCTTATCGTAATCATAAATAAGAAATTTTRAACTAATTTTACTCTTTATGATTTGCTTCAAAAATTTAATATGTATTTTTTTTTTTTAAATTTTTTTTTTTTAATATATTCTAATTTCTTATTATAGCTAAAACAACAAGGAGCAATGGATAGTCCTAGAAAATATGTTCCTGAGTAGTAGCGAAAACTCAACTGTCTGTCAATCTCAGAACTTTTATTATATATA